CCAGCAAATGTACCAATTAGCACCAGTTGTGTTGCTGATTTTCTGATCAGCTTTTTTCATACTGGCAGCCAAAGGCTTTTTGAGACAGAAAGTGCTGATACAAATATAAAAGCCAGGTAAGCTGGCAAAAGTAGATCTGTAGTCACAGAGTTAGAGCTGCAGTGCATTGCAGGTATAAAAGAAATGTCCCTCTGCATTCTGGTGATATGGTTCAGCCAGGAGTCTCATCTATAGATGTTTACATTATTGGGAAAATTGTCATCATATGTTAGAAAGCACTACTACACAAGTGCAAGCAATGCAATGTGATAGGAAGTAAAAAATTTATGCATTTCTTATTTTATAAGAGAAAACCTTTTACTGTGCACAGTGTTTATCTGTTAAAAACCACTAAGATGAGGTAATAAAATATATATTTTGCAAATAAGCTTTTACCTCTGCTTATTTATTTTATATATCCTCTCTTTCTCTCTCTCTCTCTCTCTGCATTTTCTAGACCATAGGAGTGTATTTATCAAATGCTCAGTACTAGGACTAACCCATTTCACTCTTTGCCTCTTCAGAACAGGGCAAAAGGGGACTTCAAGTCATACATATGTGGAAAAGAATTAATTTTACATTGGGTGCATAAGTACCTTGTTAGAAAACCATGCTCCTAATAAAGCAAAAATGATACAAAGTCTAGATGAGAACATTCTCCAACCCCAAAACAGACTCTCAATACCTTACAACTTTAGCTTTTCAGAGCAAGCTGGGTAAAAAGGTAAGTTTCTAATAGTGCATTAGATTGCACCTGTTCCAAATAAAATCGAACCAGACATTATGCTCTTCCCTCTTCTTCTCTCGTCTTCATCTTTGAAACGGACTACAAAGCTTGTAGAGAATTGCAGCAGGATGCCAAATCATTTTAACCTAGCCCAGCAAGATACCCATTGGAACCACTGTAGTAAATATGGATTTTGAATTAAAGATCAACAATTATCTAGACTCAGACTTATTTTCTTTGTTTTCTTCACTACTACCTAATTAGTCAAACCTTTATTTCTTTTCTCAGTTATATATGTCTTTTACTGGTGGTGTCACTTGTCTGCATGAGATAGAAGCAGATACAACAGGAACTAAAGCTAGCACTTGGAAACAACTGCACTGGAAGCAAATAAATATATGAAAACCAGTCCCCAAGCCTTTCTGTGTGGATGTGAGGGGTAAGAAGGAACACAGAGAGCTGCGTAGGCTGTTCTGGGTGTAATTCCCTCTTTCCTAAGCTCTTAATCAGGCAGAGGACTATTAATGTTTCTCTAGTAGCAGCTACATATTTTTGAAATACATTACAAACCCTGGCAATATGATTAAAAAAAGAGCTTGATTAAAAAAAAAAAAAAAAAAAAAAAGCACTATATTACTTTCTTATACAGGAGAACACATACACATAATGGTACTTACTCTGTGCAAACTTAGGAGGATTGTCGTTAACATCAGTGAGTGTAATTGTCACTGTTGTAGTTCCAGAGAGTCCACCCATATGTCCTCCCATGTCCTTTGCTTGGATGACCACAAAGTATTCTTCTTTGGCTTCTCTGTCCATGTTGGGAAGAGCTGTTTTAATTATAGCTACAATAATGGGGGGGAAAAAAGTCAGGTACAGACCCAAATCCAGTTTTGCCGCTATTTTTATGGATATATGTAAATATTGGTATAAAAATTGAACTGCTAAAGTTCCAGTTAAGGTGCCTGTTAGTACCAAGGATAAAGAAGAATTTGAGATTTTCAAAACAGTGTATTTGAGGTCACCTACCTTGATTTATCAAAGTGTGATTTATCAAAGTGTGGTCCAAAACCCCAAAACTAATCATACCTGCAATACATATTAATTCTTACTTTTTTTTTTCCTGATAAACTTTTTGGTTTCTGTCCTACCTCTCACAGAAATCCGTTGATTCCCCACAGAATTCACAAACAGAAGACAACCATATAGTAAACTTAACCTGTAAAGACTATTAAACGTTATCTGTCAGATTGTTTCAAATATTTTAAAACCAAACCCATTATTTAATCTGCTCTTGCGTATAACCTAGGCTACCGGTGTTCCCTTAAGTCCTAACTCGATTGCCTACAGGCCTACTGGAGAACGACGGCACGTCTTTCAGCACAGTGACCAGTACTGCAAACTCCTGAAGTCACTCCATCGTCCCTGCCCTGGGCAGCCAACAATCTCAGTAAGCTGCTATCACCTACTTTCTTAGGTTAGAAGGTTTTGAAGACAGAGAAATAAAATTATCTGTAGTATATCAAAATACAAAATGTCAGTGGGCTAGCAGGAAGATATCTGCAAGGGACAGTCTAATTAAATATGGGGCCACATCCACTGCAAACTCCTATAGATATCATGGACTTCTAACAGAAAAAACAATAAAATATTTTTTTTCTTTCCAAAACTTCTCCACTCGTAATATGCTATTGTATTCACACCTTTCCATATGGAAAGTGCAATACTAAATGCTTAATGGTAAATTTAAATGGTGTTCATCATAGTCTAGTAATGTCCACCATAATAAAAAGATAAGAATCAACTAAAGAAGTCCCATTAAACCCAGGGAAAACTACTCTAAATGTTAAATTGAAAGACGGCATTTTTTGTCCTTTTAATCCTGTTTTTTAATTCTATTTCAAACAAAAAAAAAATGATTTGTCTGTGAAAAGAGAGCACAAAGTTCGAGTTACTGAATTATCTTAGTGGGTAAGTGAAGTGTAAGATTGCCAAGGGGAGATGAATCCACCATTGCAGTGGTTCCTTCATGGTGCTTGAGGGTTCTTATGAGGCATAAAGAGGAGTGTCTCTTTTCATGGGCCTGCACTTACAGAGCTGAAGGACACAGTTTATGGGCAGACACTGACAGTAACTCACCGAGTCTTTGGAATTCATTAAAAAAAGAAGGTAAGAATTCTATATTGTACTGTATATTTGTTAAGATTTGCATGTTGAATAGAGCGGCCAAGTTCACACCCTGGATGATACGTACCTGTTGCCAGGCCTGATCAGACATTTCATTACCTCCCACACTGTATTTCTTTTTTTTTTTACCTGTTCTTTGTTAAGTATTGCCAGGAGTTTTTAGGTGTCAGTCAATACTTATTGCAAATCTGTTAGTTTTGATTTGTCTGTTGGGACTAGCATAGCTGGAGGCTTCAAATAGCTCTTTTTTTTTTTTTTTTTTTGCATGGGATAGCTTCTATTAAATAAGCTTCTTAGAAATGACGAGATTATCCATTCATGTATTTATGGTGAATAAAGAAATGTTCCTGGTCTTCATCATAAACAGAGATGCATTTCAGTAAATTTGAGAATCCATTTATCTTTAATATTGTAATACTAAGCATTTGATCAGACCTTCTTTTCTTGGCTGAGTACAGGACCAAGCTAGGAGCAATGGGGTGTAAGGTATGTAGAATAAAGCAATATACTTGCTACATAAACCACCAAACATAGCATTACAACAGTCTTGTAACCTACACTTTTGTAAATTATTTCCATAAAATATTTTGGGTTGTCATCTTACATATTTTATACATATAATTCCAGATGAAAATGCAATCTCTATCTTATGACTGCAACTGCCAAGCAAGCGTAATCTCTTGTTCCCAAGGAACTCAACAGGTAATCAGTGATTTTTCATTCCAACATGTGGTAAGCGGGGTGAGGAGCAGCAAGGCCAGCTGCACTGCGGGTAAAGGTGAGTTGGGAGCTGAGCACAGAAACAAGGCAAGCAGGGGCAGGGACCTCACCAACAAGGAGCCGGACTGTGGAGTGGCAATGCAGGGTCCCACTCAGACCCAGAGACAGTGGCCAGGCCCAGCCATTGATGATCACCCAGCCAGCCCACAGCAGCAAGGCAGCTCTGCGGCCAGACCAGGAAACCCAGCTGGAGGGTTTGGATCCAGGTCAGAACCAAGAAAATATGAGACCGGGCGCAGAGGTAGCACAGCCGGGGGCCAGCGGTAGAGCCTCAACCTAAAAGGAGCTCCCAAGGAGAAGGGGGGGCGGCTCCTGGATGAAGCTTTCTTCACAACAGCTCGTACCTGGCAAAGGAGCTGGCCTTGGATGCAGTCAGCTACACTTCTAAACTTAACCAGCTGACCTCCTTGAAGGAGGTCCTGTGCTCAGGACCCTGACAAATACAATGTAATCCAGTGCTTGTAAAACCAATGGAGCAGCCTTGAAATACAACATTCGTGTAATTTAACTATCGTGTACCATCTATAGGAGGGCACATAAGTTATTCTGCAGAACATTGAAGAATATGCTTCTATTAAAATTTTTTTAATGAAAACAGGGGAACAGTAAAAGCCAGAAAATAATAATAAACATTTATCAGATGTGATAGGTGCAAAATACATTCAGTAAAAGAGTAGGGCCATTTCCTCCATAGCAGCCTGGGTAAGGAGAGCAAATGCTACATATTTCTAAAAGCATTTGACAACTGTGAGTGGTTTGGACCAACTCGTTTACTATTTAGGAATAATAATGACACATTCTGCGAAAAAATCCATTGTTATAAATGAGATGACACATAAAAAGGATGCTAATGCAGACTTAAGGTATCAGAATTTGGTCCGCATTAATTTTTTTCACTAATAGAGCTGATCCAAAGATCAGGGAAACCTTATTTCAACAGGGTTTGTATTAAGCCTACTATAACTTTTCCTCCATTATTAGTTTTTAGGCAGACTTTCCCTTGGTTTTTTTTTTTTTTTTTTGTTTTTTTTTTTTTTTTTTTTAGTGTAATTTACATAGGTAAGTCCAGCCTACAGAACACTTGTATAAGATGCCATGTTTTGTATTCTGCAGTTTCCTCTGAGACAAGTTAGTTATTTCAATAAAGTGATGATTCTTCCTAGACATGTGTTTTAATTTGACTCTTAATATATAGAACAGTCTAGCCCTTGTCTATGGTTTGAAAGATATCAGGAAGATTAAATACCTTAAAAAGTGCCTAAATCAGAATTACAGTTTCTGACTTTTAGGACATAAAAATTGGTGTTTTGGGGTTTTTTTTTTTTTCTGTGTAAAGATACTAACACAACCTGTTATTTCAATAGCTTTACACATATTTCTATCTGCTCTCTCAGCCCATAAACCATTTGCCAGAAGCTAATAGTCAAAGTCAAGTTTCAATTTAAAACACAATAAAAAGATAAAAAGAAGTTTACTGGTTTAATTACTACAACAGGAGCTGAAGGTTTTTAAACATCAGATATATCCAAATCACACAGGCTGATTGTTACCACCAGTATTTCTATATTCAGAACCTACAGAACAGAGGTTGGCGAAAGAGAAGCGTTGGTATCTCTTATAAGGCAAGTTAATAAACACAAAAAGGCTCCATCCTCACCTAAGCAATGTGATCGAGACAAAGGCAGACTAAGAGTTACGCATAGAGAATTTCAAGGATATTCGTTTGTTCTTTTGCTTTATTCACCAGTTCTCAGGTTGGGCTTACAGGAAGTACTGGAACTTTCAGTCTATTTTTAGAAAACAATTCAGTCTCACCAAATACTAATACACATCCAGCACACAGAACATTAATTCATTCAGCATTCAGTCTGTTCTACTTCAATTCAACCCAGAAACAAATCGAGAATAAAGACATAACCACTTTCAGCATGCTGTGATGGATGAAAATTCTATGTGCCAAACAGGAAAGTAGTTTAACAGCGAGGGATGAGAATTACTGTAAACTAATGTAAGGTAGGTAGACGCTTGTTGGAAGACTGCGTTCAGAAGAGTTATCAATGGCTTACTGTCAAAGGGGACAGAGGGATGAAGTGGTTCATAGGGTTTGTTCTGCTTCCAGCATCATTCAGTATTTCCTGAATGATGGAAGACAGGAAGAACTTAGGAAGCCTTTCAGATGACACAAAGTTGGGAGCCATTGAAGTACTGGAACAACAGGATTAGAGTTCAAAACTATTTTTACAAATTGGACAATCTAAAAAAGTAGGATGTAACTTAATTTGGCAAGTAAAAAGCATTTTGTGTGGGTGAAACAATTAACTTCACAATTACAACTGAGCAGATGACTCACAAGACAGAAAAAAATGTGGAGTCAAAATGAGCTGAATATGAGTCAACAGTATTTTGCTGATAAAAATGCTCAAACATTCCCCGCTATATTAGCTAGTATGTTATATGGAAGAACGGTGGAATAATCCTGCCAGTTTGCCTATATTGGTTAAGTGCAGCTGGAACGGTGTGTCCAGTTTGGAAAAAAATGGGTTTATACAGGTAGGAAAGTATGAGGAATTCTTTACAGCCAAATATGTAATAATTACTGGGAGCTACTCTCCTTTTCCACTGGGGATAAGAGAAGAAATGATGGGCCTAAAATATAAACCACAAAATGGGTTTAAATTGCAGCAAGAGAGATTTCAGTTAATCATTAGGGGAACACTTTCTAACAGAGAAGGTAAGCACAGAGAGAGATGGCTGCCTGTATTTCCATTACTGAAAGTTTTTAAGAACATACCAGACAAATGTCTGTCAAGAATGAGAAGGGGTAAACCTGATCCTTTTTTGGGGCAGGGGCGCTCACTGCATTCTCGCTTGAGGTCCC